TGGGATCCGAACCCTCAGCGGGAGCGCCGCCATGCTCCCAAGCGGCACACTGTAGCAGTGCACCACCGGGCTGGCCCGTGGCCCCGATCTTATAAAATAAAATAAAATAAAATAAAATAAAATAAAATAAAATAAAATAAAATAAAATAAAATAAAATAAAATAAAATAAAATAAAATAAAATAAAATAAAATAAAATAAAATAAAATAAAATAAAATAAAATAAAATAAGGAAAGAAATTTAAACATTTAAAGGCATATGAAATAAAAGCAATAAAGATGAACAGTAAAGTAAAATTGATTTTAGTCTCCACTGAGAAGTAAATTATAACAAAAATACTTTATGTCACATCAAATCAGTAATTATTTTAAAAGAAAAGATAAAAACAATGAATAGATACTTAGGTTGATAATTCAATAAATGAAGAGAATGACATCATTTGAACATAGTTGATGTAAATTTCCTTGTGAATGGTAAAGAAAGCCTGATGGTGATGAAGATGAGATAAGACATCCTGTTCCAAAAGTGATGTCAGATGACTAACTGTTTAATGACTGTGGTCAGCTTCAATAGCGTAGGATGAGTCATTCATCCCCAAATGTTAGAATACCATAAAATCTAATACTTTTTAATTAAAAGAAATTTAATGGCAATTTCCCTCAATTTAAGAACAAACCTAAACATTTACATTACATTCTCAACAATGAATCATGAACTTAAAACTTTCTTATCAATAATTTAAAAAAAAAAATCAATTGACCATGCTAGAAAAAGCTGAATTACATGTATTTTCTCCAAAGGATATTACAAACTAGAAGTACTCAGAGAGTGTGCAGCCAAAACTGAAGAAAGAAGTCTAGAAATCTTTCAGGCAATTGCTAACTAAAGACATATTATTTTCCTTGATTTTGTGATGATTTTGGTATATTTACATTTTTTAAGTTGTAATTATTTGATTTCTTCCCTCAATCTAAATATCAATTCCCCTTTAAAAAAATTATTTGTTTTATTTTTTTCTTTCTATTTTCAATTCTCCTTTTGAGTATTTAAAAAACAAAGGCAGTGGGCCGGCCCCATGGCTCACTCGGGAGAGTGCGGTGCTGGGAGCGCCGAGGCCACGGGTTCGGATTCTATATAGGGATGGCCGGTGCACTCACTGGCTGAGTGCGGTGCGGACCACACCATGCCAAGGGTTGTGATCCCCTTACTAGTCAAAAAAAAAAAAAAAAAAAAAAAAAAAAAAAAAAAAAAAAAA